GCGTACTGCAGAGCCGCATGATCTGTACGGACGGTGAAACGTCGACCGTACAGATACGGGCGGTACTGCTGAACGAAATAAACAATTGCCAATAATTCCCGACGGGTAATGCAGTACCGTTGTTCCGCCGGAGACAGTACCCGACTACCGTAAGCCACCACATGCTCTACGCCACCAATGAGCTGGGACAGCACGCCCCCAATGCCCGTGTTACTTGCGTCTGTATCGAGCAAGAAGGGTTGTGAGAAATCGGGTTAATTCAACGGCGGAGCCCCCACCAGGGCATTCCGGAGGGCGCGAAAAGCAGCCTCCTCCTCCGGCCCCCAATGGACGTCAAGGCATGCAATGGTTTCGCGATCGTAGCGAAGTCAGCCACAAACCGTCGGTAGTACGACGCGAACCCAATGAAACTCCTGACCTCTCCCACCGAGGTGGGAGTCGGCCAGGAGCTGACGCATTCCATTTTGGCGGGATCAGTGGATATCCCCGAGCGTCCAACAATATGACCCAAATACCGCACCGATTCGCGGAGCAAATGGCACTTCTGCAGTTTAAATTTCAAATTGGCAGCCCGCATTTTGAGAAAAACAGCACGCAACCTCTGGAGGTGTTCATCGAATGATTTGCTAAAGACGATAACATCGTCCAAGTAAATTAAACACGAATCCCATTGCAAGCCCGCCAAGACCAGTTCCATTAACCGCTGAAAAGTTGCTGGCGCAGAATGTAAGCCCATCGGCAAGCGGTTAAATTGGAAGAGGCCTTGCGGTGTACGGAAAGCAGTCTTAGGTTTGGATTTGTCATCCAGAGGAAGCTGCCAGAATCCAGAAAGTAAATCCAGGGTGGAAAAGAATTGCGCCCCCGCCAAGGCATCGAGCGACTCATCCATTCGAGGAAGCGGGTACGCATCTGCCACAAAAATTTTGTTCAATCGCCGAAAGTCGACACAAAACCGCAGTGAGCCGTCGTGTTTTTTCACCAAAACGATCGGCGCGCCCCACGGGCTGTTGGAAGGGGAAATTATATCGGCGGCTAGCATGTCATCAACGGCCGATTTGACATGATCCTTTTCGGCGGGACTCAACCGAAAGGGATTTTGGCGGATTGGCGCGCTGTCACCCGTGTCAATATGGTGTCGCAGCAATTTAGTACAACCAATATCAAATTTGTGTTGACTAAAAACGTCGGCAAATTCTTTCAGGAGAACTCGCAGCTGCGCACGCTGCGAGTCGGACAGGTGCACTGATCCCGCGCAAAGCGCATCCAGCCATCCGTCATCACAGTCCGAATGCGGTCGCGACGGAGGATCGGTGCTTACCTGACCCACGAGTGGTTCCTCATAGGGTGCTGGCGTTGCGTGTGCAAGCACGGTCCCTTGAGGAACCACGGCCGTTCGCGATCCTACATTAAGGACTGCAATGAAGGGGTCCCCATCCCCTTTCACCATGGTCTGAGCCACTAGCAAATCGGGTCCATTGACCCCGGCCCGAGATGGTCCCAACAAGACCCCCCGATCCGCAACCCCCTCAGCAAACGGCCGACGCAACCTAAGAGGGACGAGCATCTGAGCCCCCGGGGGTACACGCACAGTTTTTGCCACGAGCGCCTGCACGGTCGCAAACGCCCGACGCTCCGTGGCGGGGGAATACAAAAATATTACACGTCGGCCCGATGGGAGCTCGATGCACCCCTGGCCGATCAAGATACGAATGGGCATTTTGGCCAAGAAATCCATCCCCAACAGGCACAGAACCGCCAGTGAGGAGGAAACCAAAACAGGCCCGGATAATTTAATGTCTCCAATGCAAATTTTGGCGCGGATTTGCCCAATGATGCCTAGCGAGCCCCCGTTAGCAGCATAGCATTGCACGTCAATGGGGAACAAGGGACGACTTTGAACGGGAAGGATGTTATAAATCAAATCAGATATAATGGTCGCCGATGCTCCTGTGTCAATTAAAATCCGCACCTCTACCCCATCAATATGACCGACCACAACCGACGATCCCGCCGACGCTGCAATGACACGATGGGCGAGCTCCGACCACTGACCTGGTTGGAGCGCTCGCCGCATTTCAGAACAATCCGACGCAACGACCGCCGATTTGCGAGGCCTGTTCGTTTCAGCGCGTGAGTGTGTGTCGGATGTGTGCATGGGCCAAACGTGTGAGGTGCCACGACTCGCCGTATTTCTCTGCTGGAGCTTGGGTGGAGACGGCGCGGCGTCCTGACGAGGTGTCGCCCCGCGCTGACGGGGAGCCCGGCATCCTGAAGCAACGTGGCCTTGAAGGCCACAGTTGTAGCAGCGTGTGAGCGCCCCAGATGGCCTGGGCTGCTCCTGGCGGCTCGGTCCATTCCGAGCCTGTGGTCCCGCCGATCTCCATTCCCCCCGCCGCTCCACCCCGCAGACCTCCTCCGATGGGAGGGTGGTAGCCGCCATGACATGGCCGGCCACCCCCTTGGCGGTCTTGCGACGCAGGGACCGGAAGCCCCCGTGGATATGGAGCGCGACCAGCAAGGAAGACATCTCTGTGTCGTCTTGAGCCAAGACGGCGACGTCCAGCTCGTCCACGAGGAGCAACAGCTTTTCAGCCACCATAGCGTCCACTCCCTCCTCGTCCATCCGCGGAAAAGCTGCCTTCGCCAGGGCCAGGAGAGCCGTCCGGAAGGCCAGGGGCGATTCGTTGGCGCCCCGATGACGATCGTGGAACAGCTGCCTGCAGTCCGAAGGCGGGCCGTAGACAGCTGACAGCAGCTGCAGCGCCAAGTGCAGCGTGGCGCGCTTTTCCTTAGGCGCCGAGGTAAGGGTAGCCAGGGCGTCGTTGTCCAGCATCGCCGGCAGCGCGCGTAGTGCTTCGGCGTCCGTCCAGTTGGCCATCTCCTGATGAGCGATGAACCGTCTCTTGAAGCCGCCCCAGTCCCCGTCCGCGCCCACGAATTCTTTGAGAGGCGGCAGTCGCTGCTGTAACGCGACGTCCGTGGCTGCGGATCGCGCTCCGTTGTTCCCAGCAGACGTTACAGTGTGGGCGGGCTGTGAGCATGGCATCGCCGGTCGCTCCGTTGTTGACGCGCTGGCCGGTATTGATGATGTCACGGCTTGGGCTTGGCCCTCAGCAGTCACCTGACGTGGGCCGGCCCCGCCCTCTGCTCCCACTGTAGTGAAGGCGGGAAATTTAACCGCGAGCCGCGTCGGGGTGGCGGGAAACGGCGCCGTGCGTCAGCTGCCGTCGTCGTCCCGCGCAGCCCCTCCAGCCCCCAGCCGCGTGATCTCCTCCAACGTGGCGGCCGCAGCGTAGAGCAACTCCGCCAGGCGGGAGTGAGCCAGCCGAAGTCCCTCGGCCGACGCATCCCTCCCTTCCTGTCGTAGCGGCGCGGGTGTACTCAGCCCCGGCTGCTCCGATCCGACCTCGGCCATCTCTGGTGCCGGTTCGGCCGAGGTGTCCTCCATCTCCGACTCCCTGGTACGTGTCGTCCCTCGTGCGTCCATCGTTGAACGTTCACTTCTGACCCCAGATGTAGTAAGTATTCAGGAGGCTTGACGACGGGGTCGGAGGCACACTTATTTATTAACACCAACTTGTGCACAGTAACGGGTACACATACACTTAAAGGGGTATCGTCCCCTTCACTCGTCTAACAGGGAGACACAACATCTAACCCCGCTAACCTACGCCCGAGTCCTCCACTACGGAGCTAGGGGAGGCTACCTATCCCAGCCCTGGTCAAGCTGGGATCCCGGCACCCTGAGTCTCCAGACCGGCTCTGATAAGAACGTCAGTCTGGGCTCTCGGGGCCACGCCACCGGCTTGCCCTGGTCGGCCCTGACAAGGACAGCGAGCCAGGGGAGCTCCGGGGCCTATTCTAGCTGGTCTTCACTCTTCGCTGGTTAAAGCTAATACTCGACCTCGAGCCCTCCGGCTCACCACCTTTTATAGCACTCGGCCCCCGGGAGGGGCCCATGGGGGATGCAGGTGCGGACGTCAGTGTGAGCACCTCCTCTGTGTACGGCCCAAACCACGCCCCTTGGATTTGTTAGCCATCCGTGCCCATACACAATTACACCTCTACACCTCTATAAGTATCTCCGGAACCCATTACACATGCAGTGTAGACGTATTGTGTACACACAATGTATATACAGCGTACAAACAGTCTGCACATACACTGTATACACAAACACACTAACAAAAACGACTGCCATTCGCCAATACGTGGTGGTGACGTCACCATGGCGCTTGTGCCAGGCTATGTGCATGTTAAGGCCAGGTGAAGTGTCGAACTCCCGCCGGCAGGAGGTCACAGGGCAGACTCAGGTGCCATGGTTCAACTGAGATGACTGGCCGATGCACCACCTGTGCCCCCTACTGTGCCAACAGTGTACACACACACACGGTATGTGTGTACACTGTGCATTGAGATGATTTAGAAAATCATTAAGTGCATCTTTACCATGTGGCCAGACAACCAAAGTGTCATCAACATATCTAAACCAAAAGGATGGTTTTAATGTACTCGAGGCAAGTGCTCTTGTTTCAAAGTTCTCCATATACAGATTGGCTATAAATAACGCGATCTGACACAAAAACCTATATTATGAATAATATTGGTCGCGAAAGCCTGCTACGTGTTAAATTAAGTAGAACGTGTTGTCTATATTTATTTAAGTTGCGTATTTTGATGTGACGTCACCTTTATCACCCTCCCCCCCCCCATCGTCACAAATCGTCACAAATGTCTGACCGTCCCCTCCCCAGTTGCGTGACGTCATTTATGGACGGCCCCACACACACTGTATACACAGTTTGTACACACACACTGTATACACAGTTTGTACACACAATGTTAACGCAGTTGAGCTCACGCACCCAAAGGGTCAATGTTCAATAGAGAGATCCATGGAATAGGAATCTTAATGAACTTAAACTCTAACCCCGCTCTCTGACGTCACCACTGCATTACCTCATCGGCTGAGGGGGAGGTGTACCCCGCTAGTGACGTCATGTAACCTGCTGCCGCGTGACGTCACGAGACACCAGGAAGCTGCCGATCCGCGCGCGCGCTCACTGAGATCCGAGGTGAGAAGTTCACATCGTGGTGGTTGTTGTTGTTGTTGTGGTGGTTGTTGTTCTTGTGGTGGTTGTTGTTGTTTACCCAGGCAGAGCCTCGCTCCGTCTCTCTCTCGTAGGAATATCAATTGAGTAGCAGCGAGTCTGGAATCGATGTCCAGGTTGGAACATTACAACGCGGGGCCTTGCCTCCTGCCCTCGCCTGATTGCATTTGCTTTAATTATCTGCTTAAGTTTAATTTGTCTTCATCTGGCTCACAACTTTGAAACTTTGTTTCTTTTAAATATTTCTACAGTTTTTTTTATTATCCTACCAGGCCAAGCCCACTTGAGCTGCTATACCGCTCTTGTCTTCAGAAGCGACCTTCCCACAACAAAGTGGCTTATCAACGTGTGGAAATATCTGTCGGTCAAATACTCTAAACGCGTGGTGATGTTGACTCTAAACGTGGAGGGGAAAACCCTGAGGATCCGGAGGAAAATCCACGCGACCACGGGGAGAGAGAGACACGCAAACTCCAAATATACAGGAGGGGTCGCGATTGAACCCACCAGCTCCTGTAATCCATGAGAGGCAGTTAACATCTCCCAGCCACCATGGTGCACACTCGAGTACATGACCACAATGAGTCTCAGCACTCTAATTCAGGAGCGTTCTGCCGGGTTGGTTTTGCTGATGCACCCTTTAGACCGATGAACAACTATTTTTATGATAATTGTTTTTTTACCCTTTTATCTGGCAAGAAAACTGACTCCTTTTTTATACGAGGAATCATGTTTGCATAGATCACAATACCTGCAGTCATAATGCAAACAAAAAACATAACTCTGATAATGTATGCACTGTCCTTGAAGTTGGTACACACCCGAGACAGTTTTCCTTAGAGCCTAGTCTCTCTCTTTGATGGTGCATTGTCTTTGAGTTGTGCGCCTTTTGGCGTCATCTGGTCCAACACCATGTGAGACTAGGCTCTAAGGAAAGCTGTCTCGGGTGTGGACCAATCTACTTTAAGGACAGTGCATACATTATCAGAGTTATGTTTTTTGTTTGCATTATGACTTAAGGTATTGTGGTGTATGCAAACATGACTCCTCGTAAAAAAAAGGGTCAGTTTTGTTGCCAGATAAAAGGGTAAAAAAAAACAATAATATTTTTTAATGGCAAATGAGATTCCAATGGTGTAAACTATTTTTATATTACCAATCATGGCTCACAGAGCTGTTAGATCTTTTGTCAGAAGCCACCTGGCCATAGATGATAGCTCAACGAAATGGCTTTTCACGTGGAAGATTGTAGCAGCCAAATAATCTAAATGCATGTTACTAAATGTGGAGGGGAAAATCGAAGGACCCAGAGAAAAAATAATCCGAGTGAGCGAGTGTACTCATTTGTGTTAGTGTACTCCGTGAGCGTACTCTAAGTGCGTGGGTTCGATTCCAACCCTGACGCATTTATAATTGCAGTTTACATTTTTTTATTTTTTATTTCTCTCCCTGTAGTGGCATTGATTTTTCTCCACATTTAGAAACATGCGTTTTGAGAATTTTGCTGCAATACATTTCCATATTATAACCCACTAAGTTGAGCTATCATTTGTGTCCAGGTCGATTCTGAAAACGAGCTATGCAGCTCAGATGGCCTCACCTGGTAAAATAAAAATATTGTACTGTGTTTGAGGGTTTTCCAATTTAATTTCTCATTTAGCAGTTAAAGATTATGTTTCAGGAGGGTCCTGCATTGGACTGTTTGACCACCACGAACTATATTTAGAGTTTAGGTTTGGGAGAAAAACGGAAAACCCAGTGGAACACCAATACCGACGGTGACGGCCGACGCCAGGATAGCAGCCACGGGCTCGAAGCGGGGGCAACCCGGCTCTTGTCCCAAGAAAGGAATCCGCTCCCCGCTGCCCTCCATGGTGACGCATCGCACGCTGAGCCCCAACTTTTCCAGGTCGGTACCTGCAATACACTCGTGGCATAACACGCTCGACACGTATAACTCCTGGTTACACACCTGGTGTTCGAGGCGACCCTTAAGGGTGACCCTCCACAGCAGTCCCACTTCCACTTGCAGTGTGCAGCGCACGATCCGGGGCCTGTAGGCGGCCCACTTCAACCCCGACCACGCTGCAGTGTGTTGCACTCACGAGTGACGTTACCGCCGCCCCCGTGTCCAGCAGAATCTGAGTACGCCGTCTGTTCACCTGCCCTTCTACGAGCGACGTGGCCCCCATTATTCCTGCCACCAGCTCCCGCAGCCAGTCACCCGCAGTCGCCGCATTCTGGGGTGTTGTTGTCGGCATCTGTGTGGGGGTCACTCGCTCACCATTATCACGACAGTTTATTTGTGTTGGGACCACGTCGATTGCACCCCTCTGTGGTCCCCTCTTTAGGGAGGCCTTGGTTTTTAACCCTCGTGCTTCTCTCGCGCGGGCGATCTGGCGACTGTCTCTCACGAGATGCCCCCATTGGTCACATAGATAGCACGCACGGGGAAGGGCGGTGGCTCCATAGGAGGCCCCTTGTCCACTCCCCCTTACCCTCCTAGTGCGCATTTGTTCGAGTTCTGCCTCCTATTGAGATACTCGCCTGGTTAGCCCCGCGACCATGGAGCGTAGCCCTCCCACCTCGGACTGGACTATCTCCGCTGTAGACTGCAGCTTGGTAACGTTCAGGTGTACTTGCGTCACCTCCCCGCATACTTGGGTTACCTCCTCTCGTACTTGGGTCACATGGCCTGCGTTATCTCCTATACCGGTCTGTATCCCTGCCACCTATCCTGGGGTTGTCTCACGGGGTCCCGGAGGCTCCCTCGTCCCCCCCCTCACCTCCTCCTCTGGAAGAAAACTTGCAATGGTGCTATCCCGTCCCAGCCGTCGGAATTCCGCACGCTCACGAGCAAATCTCTCGCACACACACACACACGTGCGCGTGCTCGGCAAGGGTGTTAAATGGGGGATATGGGCAGTTCGCATCTGGCTGACACCCCGTTGTGCTTGTCAGATGCTGCTGAACTTTCTCGATGGCGAGGTCATCGATGATCTTGGCAGTGTATCCCGGGCATGCGCTCTGTGTTAGCAAGCGTGATTTATTTTCGTGCGCGCTCACGGAGATCTGAAGTGAGAAGTTCACATCGTGGTTATTGTTGTCGTGGTGGTAGTTATTGTTTACCCAGGTCGAGCCTCGCTCCTTCTCTCTCGTAGGGAGGCCGCTTTGGATTGCACCACTCTTCGATTTCACATTAACATGCTAATTTATTACATTAACATCACTAGCCCCGGCCACTTCTTTATGACCCTTGGGCTACACCCATTTCAAACCTTTTAAAAACAGTCTGCCTCAGCAGCAGTCCATGCATTTTCTATCAGAGTGTTTTTGTTTGCATTCTGACCACAAGTATTGTGGTTAATGCACACATGATTCCATGTAAAAGGTTTCAGTTTGGTGTTTTAACATCTTAACACCTGTTTTGTTGCCAGAAAAACGGGGAAAACCTATTCTCATATTTTGGTACTGGCAAAGGTTCCATGATGAAATATTGCAGTATATTAGAGGTGAGCCGTGCGTGTGCAGAGAGGACAGTAAGGAGTTGGAAGTTAATTAATTTTGTGGCAAAAATGCAGGCCTTTATAATATGTAAGGATAATGTGGTAAATGAGAAAAAATATAGCAGTGGCGGGGTATTGGAGTGTGCATGTGTTACAGGTGTTGAAGGTGAACAGGTAAGCTAAAAATTGCGTGAAAAACATAATAACTTACCCTTGAGTACGCATGGAATTTTTGATGTGTGTATGTTTCAAAGTGTTGGCGCAATTTGGTTCTCAAAAAAACACACAGAGTCTGCTTTATTTATATACATTTATACTCATCTTGGAATGTTTTGTATACGGTTTCTCCACATTTATTTCAGTAATTTAGTTCATTTGGAATACAGTAAAGTACTTATTTCAATTGTGATATATATTTTAGTTGCTGTTAACCTAACCCCATTATTTAGGTAAGGCTTAAATATTGAATATCGGCATTTTACCTTTCGCACGGCACTTTCCAAGAATGTAACCTCCGCGCTATTCAAGGGGCTGCTGTATTTTCTGTCCATCAGCTATAGCACAGTACGGATTTTCAGCAGCAACTAGATCTCTGCTTTCTTGGTGTAATTACGGCCTATAGTACCATAAAGAAGCTTGGGGTTTTGGATTGTTTTTTTGTTTTAGATGTCTCTGCCTCTGCTCACATTCGTTGAGGATTTTTATGATTTTAGGCAGGCCTATCTAAAGCTGTGTGACCAGGAGTCGGATCCCTTTCTTGTTCAATTTGGCTTGTGGCCGAAATTCTCTCTGGCCCCATGCATTACATTACGTAGCATTTTCAAATAATGATGTGTTTTGAGAAGCTCACAATGGCGCTATAAAAAGTTGCATTTCATACAGTAACAATGATACGCTAATCGATGCCTGGTTATAGTCAAGGGATTATCCCCTGCTGGTCAACCATGTTACGCATGTTGATGATCTGGTCATGGCTACTCAATGATTGAGTTGGAGAATCGTGTTCTGTGCTTGGAGAATTCCATGACGAAATGGGGCCTTGCATATGTTCTACAAAAAGATCACCTCCCTGGGAAAATCTTGACTTAAAGCTTTCGTAACTGCAGGAAAAGTGACGTGACTTTACCGAAAGACCCAAAGAACACCTCTCTGGGAATTTAATGTCATACAGCACTGCACCTGCTCAGCTCTCCATGAATAATCAGGTCGTTCTACACGTGGTGGAGGAGCTCCTATACCTGGTTAATGTGTTCACGACCAGCTCTGGTTTGGCATCCAAAGTCTCACTTCAAATTAGTCTAGCAGCATTCTTTCATTAGGCTCTGTAACACTATGTGGAAGCTGCCTGAACTTTTTTACATACAAAGCTGTGAGTGTCCATCGCCAAGGTCTAGTCCATTGCAAAGGTCTCGTCAAAAAAACAGGCAATAGTCTACATTATAGACTGCCAATACACTCACCGAGGTTAAGAACCAGGCTACAGTCTACATTAGTCGTTTTTTTGCTTCTATTCACTTTATTTGTATTTTTATTTTCTATCTACATGACTTTACCGAAATAACCAAAGAATATGGATTCCCGCTGTCACTAAAGTTTTAAGTCAAGATTTTCCCAGGGAGGTGATCTTTTTGTAGAACATATGCAAGGCCCCATTTCGTCATGGAATTCAACAGGTACAGAACAAGATTTTATAAGAATGGATACAGTCAGGAAATTAACACTGCACATATGCAGCTTAAGTTAGATCTGTTCATCCTCGCATTCAAGCTCATCTGAGCCTGGCTTCACACCTCTAAGTTGCAAATGAACATTAATTTATACATTTCTGCATAATACAAATAATATTCTTTTCAACAGCCTTTGCTATGTTAGCTAATTTTTCTTAAATAAATATTCCTGTCATAGCTAGACAACCGAAATTGTGTGCTTGGAGTTTTTGGTAAACATTCATTTTGAAGACACTAGGGTGTCCAGGCATATTTATGACCATTTTCCCTCTCATTGTGTGCCTTAAGAGCCCGCGTGATGAATTGGGGAATCTCTCACTATATCATGAAAATATGAATATGTATAGATGTGTAAGTCATGTGTGACTGTGTATATATGCATTCCTCTGTGCCTCAATACTCACATAGATGGTGTCGACATGCTTTTCTGTTTGCAGCTGACGCTCGCTCTGCAGAATTGGTCTGATGGAGCAAAGGCACTCAGCGCAGCTCGGTACAATAAGGAAACAATGCGACCAGAATGCAAACATCACTGATCGTACTGGAAACTTGACACAGCACCAGAGAACACACACAGGAGAGAAACCCTTAAAGTGCAGTGTGTGTGGGAAGGCATTTTCAGATTCATCTACTCTTAAACAACACCAGAGAACACACACAGGAAAGAAACCTTTCAAGTGCACTCTGTGTGGGAAGTTGTTTGCAAAGCCATCAAATCTTAAGACCCACCAGAGAACACACACAGGAGAAAAACCTTTTAAGTGCACTCTGTGTGAGAAGGCATTTTCAGATTCATCTACTCTTAAACAACACCAGAGAACACACACAGGAAAGAAACCTTTCAAGTGCACTGTGTGTGAGAAGGCGTTTGCACAGTCACCAAATCTTCAAAGACACCAGAGAACACACACAGGAGAGAAACCTTTCAAGTGCACTGTGTGTGAGGAGGCATTTGCATGGTCATCCTATCTTAAATCACACCAGAGAACACACACAGGAGAGACACCTTTTAAGTGCACTCTGTGTGGAAAGGCGTTGGCAAAGTCATCAAATCTTAAGATCCACCAGAGAACACACACAGGAGAGAAACCTTTTAAGTGCACTTTGTGTGGGAAGGCGTTTGCAATGTCATCAAATCTTAAGACCCACCAGAAAACACACACAGGAGAGAAACCTTTTAAGTGCACTCTGTGTGGGAAGGCATTTGCAAAGTCATCAACTCTTCAGACCCACCAGAGAACACACACAGGAGATAAGCCCTTCAAGTGCAGTGTGTGTGGGAAGGCATTTTTTGATTCATCTACTCTTAAACAACATCAGAGAACACACACAGGAAAGAAACCTTTCAAGTGCACTGTGTGTGAGAAGGCGTTTGCACAGTCACCAAATCTTCAAAGACACCAGAGAACACACACAGGAGAGAAACCTTTCAAGTGCACTGTGTGTGAGGAGGCATTTGCATGGTCATCCTATCTTAAATCACACCAGAGAACACACACAGGAGAGACACCTTTTAAGTGCACTCTGTGTGGAAAGGCGTTGGCAAAGTCATCAAATCTTAAGATCCACCAGAGAACACACACAGGAGAGAAACCTTTTAAGTGCACTTTGTGTGGGAAGGCGTTTGCAATGTCATCAAATCTTAAGACCCACCAGAAAACACACACAGGAGAGAAACCTTTTAAGTGCACTCTGTGTGGGAAGGCATTTGCAAAGTCATCAACTCTTCAGACCCACCAGAGAACACACACAGGAGATAAGCCCTTCAAGTGCAGTGTGTGTGGGAAGGCATTTTTTGATTCATCTACTCTTAAACAACATCAGAGAACACACACAGGAAAGAAACCTTTCAAGTGCACTGTGTGTGAGAAGGCGTTTGCACGGTTACCACATCTTCAAAGACACCAGAGAACACACACAGGAGAGAAACATTTCAAGTGCATTGTGTGTGGGAAGGCGTTTGCACAGTCATCACATCTTCAAAGACACCAGAGAACACACACAGGAGAGAAACCCTTCAAGTGCACTGTGTGTGAGAAGGCATTTTCATGGTCGTCATATCTTCAGACCCACCAGAGAACACACACAGGAGATAAGCCCTTCAAGTGCAGTGTGTGTGGGAAGGCATTTTTTTTATTTATCTACTCTTAAACAACACCAGAGAACACACACAGGAGAGATGCCCTTCAAGTGCAGTGTGTGTGAGAAGGCATTTTCAGATTCATCTACTCTTAAACAACACCAGAGAACACACACAGGAGAGAAACCTTTTAAGTGCACTCTGTGTGGGAAGGCGTTTGCAAAGTCATCAAATCTTCAGACCCATCAGAGAATACACACAGGAGATAAACCCTTCAAGTGCAGTGTGTGTGGGAAGGTATTTCCAGATTCATCTACTCTTAAACAACACCAGAGAACACACACAGGAGAGAAACATTTCAAGTGCATTGTGTGTGACAAGGCGTTTGCAAAGTCATCAATTCTTAAATCACACCAGAGAACACACACAGGAGAGAAACCTTTCAAGTGCACTCTGTGTGGGAAGGTGTTTGCAAAGTCATCAAATCTTAAAAAACACCAGAGAACACACACGCATCAGAAAATCCACAAGAAGTGTAATCTGAAATCAGCTTGTGAAAGTCAAAGTGCTGCAATGACCCCATTGTTCATGAAACAAGAACCAGAAGACAACCCCAGCCTGGACACTTTGAAAGGTATCAAGGTGAAATATGAAGAGGCGAAGGTGAAATGTGAAGAAGTAGCAGTGAAGAGCGTAGAAGTGAAGGTTAAATTTGAAGATGATTCAACTCCAAAATCGGACCTTCACATAGATGGAGGCAGTGTGAAGCAGGAACTAAATTCTGACTGTGAGGCAGAGCGAGGCAACTCCCAGGAGTTTGTGGATGTGGAGGTGTGGGTGGACTTCTTAGACAATACAAAGTCAAATGGAGACCAGGGAGATGTGCAAGCTTGAGACAATTAAGCTCCAATGGATGCACCTTTGTCACAGACCTTTCTAATGAATATAATGTGAAGTTGAACACTCAATTTCTAGGTTCAAACTGCAGTGTAAGAGTGGCCAGTATTTGTGGATCTGTGGGTTGGGTCGTTCTCGAATCCGGAGCGACTCATGTTTTTTGTATCATATCTCATCTTAGACACTCGATGGGTGCCCAAAATGGGCATCTGCCCCTGTGTGCCACAAGGTGACCGTTCACTGGCCTGCATGTGGATATGAGTTTGTAAGTCGGGGGCGATGATTGATATGCCAGTCGGATTTGAACCTTGAACCTCTGCAACAAATAGAGAATGTACTACTACTTGGCTTCCCTTTATGAGAGTGCGGCACATATAGGCCTAATCTCGTCAGATCAACTAGTAAATACGTTGCAACGTGACGCAGTACATTTCAGTATAGTAATAAAACGTTGCCAATGTGCCCTTTGATTATTTTGAATCATAATTGAAAGAATACCTGTCTGATTTTGTACGTACATACAACATTTTGTGTATTAATGTCAAACATGGAATATGTGATGTCAGGACGTGGGCGATCTGGGGACTGTCTCTCACGAGATGTCCCCATTGGTCGCATAGATAGCACGCACGGGGAAGGGCGGTGGCTCCATAAGAGGCCCCTTGCCTACTTCCCCTTACCCTCCCAGTGCGCATTTGTTTGAGTTCTGCCTCTTATTGAGATACTCACCTGGTTAGCCCCCCGACCATGGAGCGTAGCCCTCCCACCTCGGACTGGACTATCTCCGCTGTGGACTGCAGCTTGGTCACATTCAGGTGTACTTGCGTCACCTCCCCGCATACTTGGGTTACCTCCTCGCGTACTTGGGTCGCATGGCCTGTGATATCTCCTATGCCGGTCTGTATCCCTGCCACCCATCCTGGGGTTGTCTCACGGGGTCCCGGAGGCTCCCTCGTCCCCCCCCCTCACCTCCTCTGGAAGAAGACTTGCAATGGTGCTATCCCGTCCCAGCCGTCGGAATTCCGCACGCTCACAAACAAATCTCTCACACACACACGTGCGCGTGCTCAGCAACGGTGTTAGATGGGGGATATGGGTAGTTCGCATCTGCCTCAGACCATGCTTTCCCACCTGATGACGGACACTTGTGTTGCGCCCGAAACGTGATTTATTTTATTTTATACCTATGTGACTTTCTCGAAAGAACCAAAGAGTATGAATTCCTGCAGTTACGAAAACTTCAAATTAAGAATGCATTTTCTATCAGAGTATGTTTTTGTTTGCATTCTGACCACAAGTATTGTGGTTAATGCACACATGATTCCTTGTAAAAGGTTTCAGTTTGGTGGTTTAACATCTTAACACCTGTTTTGTTGCCAGAAAAACGGGGAAAACCTATTCTCATATTTTGGTACTGGCAAAGGTTCCATGATGAAATATTACAGTATATTAGAGGTGAACCGTGCGTGTGCAGAGAGGACAATAAGGAGCCGGAAGTTAATGCATTTTGGGGCAAAAATGCAGGCCTGATTATAAGTAAAGATAATGTGGTAAATGAGAAAAAATATAGCAGCGGCGGGGTGTTGGAGTGTGCAGGTGTTACAGGTGTTGAAGGTGAACAGGTAAGCTAAAAATTGTGTGAAAAACATAATAACGTTCCCTTGAGTACGCATGGCATTTTTGATGTGTGTATGTTTCAAAGTGTTGGTGCAATTTGGTTCTCAAAAAAACAGTCTGCTTTAATTCTAGATTTGAAGCTTTCGTGACTGCAAGGATTCATATTCTTAGGTTTTTTCGGTAAAGTCACGTAGGTAAAACATCAAAATTAATAAAAATAAAATAAAATAAAGATAACGACGTTTCGGAGGCAACACAAGTCTCCGTCATCAGGTGGGACCGTCACAGCCAGATTAGCTGCATCAAGTGAGGCAATGATTCAAGATGTAATCCCTTAAAAGCGAGTTGAGAGGGGGGGGGAGCTCATCAGAATGTGGTAGCCAATGAATGGAACGTATCGGGAGGGGGGCGGGGCCAAAAGGGTGGGCGACGGCGTGGAAGCGATTGTGCGCAAGCGACAAACTGCTGCACACACCAACGCATTGGACAGAGAGGGGGGAGGGGGAGGCCTGATACACATGATAGAAAAGAAAAGAAAATGCGCATGTTTATACCAATGCTGGCTGAACAATGAAGGGATTACTGTTAAACACTGGGGATGTTATCACTCGGTAAAGTAAAGTAAAATAGTGCCTGTCAGATAAGATGGTCCAAAAAAGTGTAATTAAGTCTTTTTTGCGTGGTTAATAACATATTTCCAATGATTACTAAGTTTGTACCCATCATCAGGGTTGAAATTATGTCTGTGTATATTTGTATGGCTTCGTGTACAAACCTTTGATGGTAGCCAGGAGGTTTGCAGAGAACCTTGGTCTCGGAAAAGACAATTTCATGAGAGCCCACCGAGTTGTAGCAATGATCGGCAACGGCCGAAGAATCAGTTCTGCCGTGTTTCAGATCTGACTTGTGCTCGCGGACACGATCAGCAACATGACGTTTCGTTTCTCCAATGTAGCAATCACCACAAATGCAACTCAATTTGTAGACTCCAGGATACTGTAAGTCAGGAACGACATCCTTCACAGATGGAATCAGATCACGGATTTTATGCACTGTACTGAATCGGACTTGGATCTTATGTTTGTTTAGAATTTTGGAGATCTTTTTTTTTGTCTTTTCCGAGACCAAGGTTCTCTGCAAACCTCCTGGCTACCATCAAATGTTTGTACACGAAGCCATACAAATATACAAACACAGACATAATTTCAACCGTGATGATGGGTACAAACTTAGTAATCATTGGAAAGATGTTATTAACCACGCAAAAAAGACTTAATTACACTTTTTTGGACCATCTTATCTGACAGGCACTATTTTACTTTACTTTACCGAGTGTTAACATCCCCAGTGTTTAACAGTAATCCCTTCATTGTTCAGCCAGCATTGGTATAAACATGCGCATTTTCTTTTCTTTTCTATCATGTGTATCAGGCCTCCCCCTCCCCCCTCTCTGTCCAATGCGTTGGCGTGTGCAGCAGTTTGTCGCTTGCGCACAATCGCTTCCACGCCGTCGCCCACCCTTTTGGCCCCGCCCCCCTCCCTCCCGATACGTTCCATTCATTGGCTACCACATTCTGATGAGCTCCCCCCCTCTCCTCCCCCCTCAACTCGCTTTTAAAGGATTACATCTTGAATCATTGCCTCACTTGATGCAGCTAATCTGGCTGTGACGGTCCCACCTGATGACGGAGACTTGTGTTGCCTCCGAGACGTCGTGATCTTTATTTTATTTTTATTAATTTTGATGTTTTACCTACGTTACTTTACCGAAAAAACCTAAGAATACAGTCTGCTTTATTTATATACATTCATACCCATCTTGGAATGTTTTGTATACGGTTTCTCCACATTTATTTCAGTAATTTAGTTTATTGGGAATACAGTACAGTACTTATTTCAATTGTGATGTATATTTTATATGCCGTTTACCTAACCCCATTATTTAGGTAAGGCTTTAGTATTGAACATCGGCATTTTAGCTTTCGCACGGCACTTTCCAAGAATGTAACCTCCGCGCTATTCAAGGGGCTGCTGTATTTTCTGTCCATCAGCTATAGCATAGGAATACGGATTTTCAGCAGAAACTAGATCTCTGCTTTCTTGGTGTAATTACGGCCTATAGTACCATAAAGAGGCTTGGGGTTTTGGATTGTTTTTGGTTTTAGATATCTCTGCCTCTGCTCACATTCGTTGAGGATTTTTATGTTTTTTGGATGGCCCATCTAAAGCTGCGTGACCAGGAGTCGGATCCCTTTCCTGTTCAATTTGGCTTGTGGCTGAAATTCCCTCTGGCCCCATGCATTACATTACGTAGCATTTTCAAATAATTGTGTTTTGAGAAGCTCACAATGGCCCTATAAAAAATGCACTCCATACAGTAACAATGATACGCTAATCGATGCCTGGTTATAGTCAAGGGATCGTCCTTGGCTGGTCAACCATGTTACGCATGTTGATGATCTGGTCATGGCTACTCAATGATATTGAGTTGGAGAATCGTGTTCTGTACCTGGAGAATTCCATGACGAAATTGGGCCTTGCATATGTTCTACAAAAATAGATCACCTCCTTGGGAAAATCTTAACTTCAAGCTTTCGTGACTGCAGGAATTCATATTCTTTGGGTCTTTCGGTAAAGTCACGTGAACACCTCCCTGAGAATTTAATGTGATACAACACTGCACCTTCTCATCTCTCCACAGAGGTCGCAATCGGGTACCCGATACCCGTACCCTACCCGATACCCGGCTGCCCGTACCCGGCCGGGTATTGGGTAGGGTACCCGTTTGCGACCTCTGGCTCTCCATGAATAATCAGGTGGTTCTACACGTGGTGGAGGCGCTCCTATACTTGGTTAATGTGTTCACGACTAGCTCTGGTTTGGCATCCAAAGTCTCACTTCAAATTGGTCTAGCAGCTTTCTTTCATTAGGCTCTGGAACACTATGTGGAAGCTGCCTGGACTCTTTCTCCATACCAAGCTGTGAGTGTCCATCGCCAAGGTCTAGTCCATCGCCAAGTTCTAGTCGAAAAACCAGGCTATAGTCTAAATTATAGACTGCCAGGACACTCACCGAGGTTAAGAACTAGGCTACAGTCTACATTTGTTATTTTATCTTTATTTGTATTCACTTTATTTATATTATTATTTTCTATCTATGTGACTTTACCGAAATAACCAAAGAATATTAATTCCTGTAATCACGAAAGTTTTAAGTCAAAATTTAACCACCTTTTTACCATGCAAGTGTATGAACATGTAAAGTTTGTATTTGCTGTCAAGTATATTGACTCGATTGAACATGGAGGTTAAATCATAATAATAGCTTATTTTAGTTTGGCTCTGGAAATTTTTATAAGAATGGAAACAGTCAGGAAATTAACAATGCAAATATTCAGCTGAAGTTAAATCTGTTCATCCTCGCATTCAAGCTAATCTGAGCCTGGCTTCACACCTCTAAGTTGCAAATGAACATTAATTTATACATTTCTGCATAATACAAATAGTATTCTTTTCAACAGCCTTTGCTAGGTTAACAAATTTTTCTTAAATAAATATTCCTGTCATAGCTAGACAACCGAAATGTTGTGCTTGGAGTTTTTAGTAAGCATTCATTTTGAAGACACTAGGGTGTCCAGGCATATTTATAACCATTGGCCCTCTCATTTTGTGCCTTAACAGCCCGCGTGATGAATTGGGGAATTATTTTCACTATATCATGAATATAGGAATAAGTATAGATGTGTAAGTCATGTGTGACTGTATATAAGCATTCTTCTGTGCCTTGATACTGACGTAGATGGTGTGGATATGTTTTTCTGACTGCAGCTGACGCTTCCTCTGACGCTTCCTCTGCAGAATTGGTCTGATGGAGCAAAGGGACTCGGGGCAGCTCAGTACAAGAAGGAAACAATTCGACCAGTATGCAGACAGCACGAATCGTACTTGAAGTTTGACACAACACCAGATAACTCACACAGGAGAGAAACCCCTCAAGTGCACTGTGTGAGAAGGCATTTACAGAGTCATCACATCTTAAAATACACCAGAAAACACACAGGAGAGAAACCCTTCAGGTGCACTTTGTGTGAGAAGGCATTTTTAGATTCATCACTTCTTAAAATATACCAGAGAATACACACCGGAGAGAATCCCTTCAAGTGCACTGTGTGTGGAAGTGCATTTGCACAGTCATCAATTCTTCATGACCACCAGAGAACGCACACAGGAGAGAACCCCTTCAAGTGCACTGTATGAGAAGGCATTTGCACGATCATCACATCTTAAAAAACACCAGAGAACGCACACAGGAGAGAACCCCTTCAAGTGCACTGTGTGTGAGAAGGCATTTGCAAAGTCATCAAATCTTCAGAGTCACCAGAGAACATGCACAGGAGAGAAACCCTTCTGGTGCACTATGTGTTAAAATGCATTTACAGAGTCATCTCATCTTCACGACCACGAAAGAACACAGGACAGAAACCCTTCAAGTGCACTATGTGTGAGAAGGCATTTACAGAGTCATCACATCTTCACGACCACGAAAGAACACACATAGGACAGAAACCCTTCAAGTGCACTCTGTGTGAGAAGGCATTTGCAAAGCCATCAAATCTTCATATTCACCAGAGAACGCACACAGGAGACAAACCCTTCAAGTGCACTATGTGTGAGAAGGCATTTACAAAGTCATCGCATCTTAAAACACTGCAGAGAATGCACACAGGGGAGAGACCTTTCAAGTGCACTGTGTGAGAAGGCTTTTGCAAAGTCATCAAATCTTCAGAGTCACCAGAGAATGCACACAGGAGAGAAACCCTTCAAGTGAACTATGTGTGAGAAGGAATTTACAGAGTCATCACATCTTAAAAAACACCAGAGAACACACACAGGAGAGAAACCCTTCAAGTGCACTATGTGTGAGAAGGCATTTGCAAGGTCATCAAATCTTCAAAGACACCAGAGAATACACACCGGAGAGAAACCTTTTAAGTGCACTATGTGTGAGAAGGCATTTGCAATGTCATCAAATCTTCAGAGTCACCAGAGAACGCACACAAGAGAGAAACCCTTCAAGTGCACTATGTATGAGAAGGCATTTACAGATTCATCACATCTTAAAAAACACCAGAGAACACACACAAGAGAGAAATCCTTCAAGTGCACTGTGTGTGGAAGCGCATTTGCAACGTTATCAAATCTTCAAAGCCACCAGATACCACACACAGGAGAGAAACTCTTCAGGTGCACTATGTGTGAGAAGGCATTTACAGAGTCATCAAATATTGAAATGCACCAGAGAATGCACACAGGAGAGAAACCCTTCAAGTGCACTGTGTGTGGGAAGGCATTTGCATGGTCATCACATCTTCAAAGACACCACAGAACACACAGGCATCAAAAGATCCCCAAGGAGCGGAGTCTGAAATCGGCTTGTGCAAGTCCAAGTGCTGCAATGAGCCCATCCCTGCTGAAAAAAGAACCAGAATTTGATTCCAGCTTGGACGCAATGAAATGTATCAAGGCGGATTTTGAAGAGGTGAAATGTGAAGAAGTGATGGTGAAGAGCGAAGAAGCGATGGTAAAATGTGAAGATGAAGATTCAACTCCAAAATCGGACCTTCACATCGATGTAGGCAACGTGAAGCAGGAGGAGAATTCTGACTGTGAGGCAGAGCGAGGCAACTCCCAGGAGTTTGTGGAAGTGGAGGTGTGGGTGGACTTCTTAGACAATAGAAAGTCAAATGCAGACCCGGTAGATGTGTAAGCTTGAGACAATGAAACTCCAATAAATGCACTTTTGTCACAGACTAAAAGAACACCAAAGAAAGTACTGTCTGTGAAAAGACATTTGCACGATCATCAGTTCTTCAGATCCACCAGAGAACAAACGGATAAACCCTTCATGTGCAGTGTATGTGGGAAGGAATTTTCAGGTTCACCTGCTCTTAAAAATCACCAGAGAACACAGGTGTAATGATTGTGGTGTCGCTGCTGTGTACACACGCTCATGTGTGACGTCACTGCGTTACTACCACGTGGGTCTACACACACACATGACGTCATCCCGGCTGGAATGACGTCAGTGCCGGTGCTGGACACATGACCGAATCCGAGTGGGGGGCCGGGGGCCGAGGGGGACCTCCGGGGGCACGTGGACAGCAGGAGGCTTCGAGAGGGTGCTCGAAGGGTGATGTGGCCAGGGTGAGGCCGGTCACGCCAAGGCCCATATAAGCAGCCTCGGGGTTCGAGTCTGCCCGTGCCGAGAATGAAGATGCCTCGTGAAGATGCCAAGAAGAGAAGGCCTCCAGTGAGCGGACCTGCCAACAGCCCATCTGGCTGGGTCACGCTAGAGTAGCTAGAAGAGAAGTGTGTGTTAGCGAGGGTAGGTCGGTGGTCACACCCTATGTGTAAAGTAAGAGTAACTGTTGAGTCACTGTTGTGTTCATTAAGAAATGAGTGTTGCATCCCAAGAAGTGTGTGCGCCAAATATGAACCCATTACACAGGCATCAGAAGATCCCCAAGGAGCAGAGTCTAAAATCGGCTTGTGAACGTCAAAAGTGCTGCAAGGCGCCCATCCTTAATGATAAGAACTACAAGAAAATCCCACCTTGGACACTTTAAAATGTATCAAGGTGAAATTTGAAGAGGCGTAGGTGAAATGTGAAGATGCGGCAGTGAAGAGCGACGTGTAGCAGGAGGAGAATTCTGACTGATGCAGAGCGAGGCAACTCCCAGCAGTTTGTGGAAGTGGAGGTGTGGCTGGACTTCTTAGAAAATACAAAGTCAAATGGAGACCCGGTAGATGTGTAAGCTTGAGACAATGAAGCTCCAATAGATTCACCTTTGTCACAGGTGTTTTATGAAATAATGAGAAGTTGAACACTCAATTCCTAGGTTCAAACTGAAGAGTAAGAGCAGCCAGTATTTGTGGACCTATGGGTTGGGTAGATCTCTAACCAGGAGTAAGAGCCAATAAGCTCCCAAGCATTCTCTATATTATGATAATTTTTGCATTCATGTGGAGCTTAATTGCCCATAATTCGATCGCGTTAATTTCAATGTTTGGTGAAACCCGCCACTGCGCGATTTGTTCTCCAACACACCGGTGTGCTGTACTAGTGTAGTGTAATAACGCCGACTGTTGTCCAGCAACGGCAACTGCGGTGGACAAATAGTACACACGCCAGTGAGCATATACACGGGTGTGTCGGCAGGGCAGAAGAATTGGGGCAAGGGTCATTGAAGACCCCATCTGGAAGCTCCTGGAACCTGCTAGTGAGTTCGAGAAGGGAGGCGCAGCCAGGGCGGAGCCAGGCCGCACTGGGTAGCATAAAAGCAGCTCAGAGTGGGAGCTCAGGGCTGTCAATTTTGGGAGTGGGCTCATCTCGTCGTGGCTGTCATCTTCGCCGCCTTTGTCAATGCCGTCTTCGCTAGATATTGCACGGCCGGAGAGTTGTTGGCTGTCTCGGTCCGCGCCATTGGTGTTACATGCTCAGGGTTGTGTTTATGCTAGGTTTGACGACGAGGGAATGCGATGGCAAACCTGTGAAGGTATTAATTAAGGTGCCCCCTTAGAAACCTTGTCTCCCGCAACGATGACACTACAACTGGTGTTCGGAGTGGGGTGAAGAAAGAACCCACCTATAGTGTCATCGGAGGATGGGAATGGCGAAACATTCATCCCTCCGGCAGCCACGGGAACCGGTTACGAAGCCCATTGGCAGAGAGAGAGCGGCTGCGGATCGGCGGGAGAGTGGCGAAAAATTGGCGAGAGAGGAGCCCGATCCTTTGCGGTCATGCGCCGATCACGCGGCATGGCCGAGGACCACCGTGTTGAGGGGAGCGCGGGGAAGTGTGGGAGTGGCTCCACAGCCAGCGGCATGTAAAGGAGTCACGAGGGGACCCTGACAGCGATCCCCGTCTCTGTGGGAGAGCGGAGGAGCCTGGGCCGGAGACCACGCATGTGGTGGGTGCCATTTTGCCCGTGGAGGGCTTGGCATGGCTGGCGGGCGCTATTTTGCGAAGAGCGCGGGAAGCGCTGGAGGGGCGGCGGAGTTAATGGCGCTGCAAGGGGATATTTTTGGCCTCCCGTGCGATGTCCGCACGAGATTTCTCCAGTGGAAGTGAGGGAAAGCCGAGACACCCTTCTGTTTCCGGGAGGCGCTGCTGGTGCTGTGGCAGACCGCGTACCCCCAGACGGGTGAGATGGCGCTCGACTCCTTGGTGGTGAAAAGACTGGTGGCGCGGGAGTCGGGGATCGTCCTGCCCTTCAGAGGAAGGCTTGGGGATCCCGTCCTTGAAGGTGGCCTGGGAAATTCAGGGCCACGAGGCCCGCCAGCAATGGCCCAAAGTGGAGGCTTGGCCGTGGCGGGAGGAGGACATGGTGGCTGTGGTGTGCGGCCTGGGGATGCACGGGAGAAGGCCCCCGCGGGTGGGTTGGCAACCGGGGAAGCCCCCTCCGCCCTGGGGTCCCACGGCCAAGTGTTTCAGGTGTGGTCAGCCGAGCCACATCGCCATAGAATGCCGGGGTGTCAGCAGGGTCCCAGCAGCGCCACCGTAGCACTCCGACCTGCCGGTAACATTTTCTCAAGCTCCATGATGTTTTCCGTGACTGCCGTGTGCAAAGTGTCAGGGGCTGGATCTGCTTAGATGCTACTGCGGATTTCAGGGATGGGCTGTGCCCTTAGGCCATTGTTTTTTTGTTCCCATTCCTCGGAATCCCAAGGAATCCAAAACCCTGCCAAGGTGGGGGGGTGACCAATGTCGAGGACCGGCTCACGTGAGCTATGTTCTGGTAAAGGCGGACTCTCCCTTGTAAGGTGGGATTCGTGGGGGTTGTGTATATTGTTTGGCTTGTGTTATCGGCTCTCGTGGGGGGGGGGGGGGGGGGGTGGGCGTCACGGTTATGCGGTCCCTGATGGGGTTCTGGCCCATGCCGCAGTTGCGCTGCGTGTTGGCGGTTTGTGGGGGGGTGCCGCGGGTTGTCCTTTTTGTTGGTGGTCCGCGGGGGGTGCCGGAGTTGCACTACGTAGTTATGGTTCGCGGGAGACGCTGCGGTTGTGCTGTATGGTCGCGGGAAGTGTTGCAACCAAGGTTTTTTTTTTGGCTAAACTTTTTTTTCGTGTTGGTGGTGTTCCTCGGGTTTGGGTTGCTCTGCCTGTCCACCGGTTGCAGTTGCAACGGCAACTGCAGTGGACAAACAGTGCACACGACGTTGAGCACATACACGAGTGTGTCGGCAGGGCGGAGGAACTGGGGAAAGGGTCATGGAAGACCCTATCTGGAAGCCCCTGGAACCTGCTAGAGGGTTCGAGAAGAAAGGCGCGACCAGGGGCGGAGCCAGGCCGCGCTGGGTAGCAATAAAGCAGCTGAGAGCGGGAGCTCACCGCTGCCGGATCTGGGAGTGGGCTCGTATCGTCGTTGCTGTCATCTTCGCTAGATATTGTGCGGCTGGATAGTTGTTGGCTGTCTCGGTCAGCACCATCGGTGTTACACGGTCAGGGTTGTGTTTAGGCTCGGCTAGACGACTAGAGAGAGCGCATTTATATTTTTGCAATCTAACCCAAAAAAAATCTTATGGATGATATTGGTCGCGAAAGCCTACGCGTTAAACTTGCTTAATTGCCTCAGCAATTCGGAGTTTTGTATCATATTTCATCACAAACACTCGAAGAGCACCCCTAAGTGGCAGCTGTCTCTGTGTGGAATAAGGTGGCCCAGCACCAGCCTGCATGTGGACATGAGTCTGTCAGTCAGGGGCGATAATTGATGTGTAATCTCAGTTTTGCAATTTCTGGATAATATTTGGAATTTCCCAAATTATGACAGTGACACCAACATGCAAAGACCTATGTGTTTTGAATGACACGATAGTATGTTTTACATCCACTCTTTAAGCAGACGGTGCATATTTTGGTTGATGTTACTGGAGTAGCCAGGGGTGCCTGTCGGATTTGAACCTTGAACCTCTGCAATAAATCGAGAATGCGCTACCAGTTGGCTTCCCTCAATCTGAGTGTAGGTATGCCAGCCAGTGTTTCTAACCAGCGCAGATGTTCCATTTAGAAGGGTGCACGTTTCACATTCCTATAGATTGGAGGGCATGACTGTTGCCGAGAAGACCCGGAGCTTCATGCAGAGCGACAGGCCAGGTAGCTTCCACACAGCATTGCAGAGCTGATGAAAAGATAATGCTGCCCGACTGATTCGGACCACCCAAACACTGTACACATACGCAGTGTAGACGTATTGTGTACACACAATGTATATACAGCTTACACACAGTCTGCACATACACTGTATACACAAACACACTAACAAAAACAATGACTGCCATTCGCCAATACGTGGTGGTGAAGTCACCATGGCGCTTGTGCCAGGCTATGTGCACGTTAAGGCCACGTGAAGTGTCGAACTCCCGCCGGCAGGAGGTCACAGGGCAGACTCAGGTGCCATGGTTCAACTGAGATGATTGGCCGATGCACCACCTGTGCCCCCTACTGTGCCAACTGTACACACACACGGTGTGCGCGCGCGCACCCCGTGTGTGTGTACACAGTTTGTATACAGGGGCCGTCCATAAATGACGTCACGCGATTTTGGACGATTTTGACCCCCCCCCCTTCGTCACACGACGTCACAAAAAGTCAGACCCCCCCCCCTCAAATATGACGTAACAAAGCTCTACCCACCCTCCCCCCCCCAAAAACATGCTTCAAATCAATTTAAACTATTGTCATTGCAGTGCGTATTTAATGTGGCACTACACTCTGATGTAGGAGAAAACATGTATTAAACAGTATATTTAATTAAGTAGAACGTAATATAGGTTTTGGGGTCAGATCGCCTTATTTATGAATGTGTCGTAACCCTCCACCACCCGACACGGCCAAACAGTAAAAAATGTTTCACGTTTTTCAAAGGACAAAATAATTCGCTTTTTAGCCCACCGGTGTGCTGAAGATAGAATCAACAGCATTTTTTTTATTTGAATACGACTTTTCGCTGATAACTACAATCAGCTTCATCGGGCAAGAATGGTGAAGCTCTCCTGTTGCTTCCGGTCGTAAATAGAGCAGCATCAGGGTGACGTCATCATTTAATTCAATTTGATCTGGTGCAATGATTTGAGGCAAAGAGGGGGAGGGTATTGTAATTATATAGATTGGTAATCATTCAATTGTTATTCATTGGTATTTTTTTCCCTTATAAGGAATTGTAATTGTATTTATATAATAATACGCTTCCAGGCCACACTAAGCCTGTAGCTGTCAGAGCGATTGAAGTTATTTCTGTTTCAATTTCAATGGATTCTCTAATTAGTCTTGGCCAGTAATAATTAATTTTACACAACACTTCAACGTTATCAAAATCAATTGAGTGTTCTTGTTGACAAGCATGCTCTGTCACTGCCGACAGTTGTGTTTGAGATAATTTAATGTTTCTTTGGTGTTCTTGTGGGGGCCGTTGGCCCCCGGGTTCCCCCCCGCCATCATCCCCTATTCCGTTTATGTTACCCCACCTCCCTAATACCCTCTAGGGTTTCGCCGGCCTTCGAACGCGACGCCCCTACCCATACGGCTTCACGCAGCGCTCCCACGCTGCAAGCATACGTGCGCATGGCATCATCAATCAAACGCCATACTCCACCTCTTTACACCGCTACGTACAGCTCTCGCACGCTGCGAGTGTGCGCCCGTCTACAGCCCTGTGCGGCACTCGCCTCCACGTCGAATAACCACGTTACCAATGCGCACCCGTATCCGACACGCAGCGAACGTACGCGCACTCACGCACACAGCTCCCCGCGGCACTCGCTCACCACTGAATACCCCCGTTGTGATCGCGTACCTGTATCATACACGTAGTGAACACACGCGCACCCACACGCGCAGCTCCGCGCAGCGCTCACGTGGCGAACCACTGTGTACACAGTACCACACACGTTCACACCTCTCAACGAGATCACAGGCCGCGATCAGCTATTAATGATTTATTGTCCGCTACCTGGAACTAGGTGTTAAATCAGTGAGTCGACAAGGCTGGCCTACGCTGATACCTTTATACCTATTCCTGATTTATCTGCTATGATTCCAATTCACCTTCTTACTCACTGTTAGGTGCTCACGGCGGTCCGTTGATCTCCTGCTCGCAGCGTACCGCGGTGCGTCTCACGGACGTCCGGGTCGCTGGGCTGGAGCTCGTGGTGTCGCCTGGTGCTGGAGTGAGACCGCGATCTCTCCCCTGCCCACCCTTTTTATCCTCCCCTCATCAAAGGGATGCGGCTCCGAGCGGGATGGCGGCCCTCAGCCTTTCCTTAACAATGGGCTCGCGCCCGCTAGCACGCGCACGGCGGTTCCGGGCGCCTGTGATATGCTAATCAATGTGCGGCGTGCGTGGCGTAAATTCTAATTAATCCTTTACCCTCCCTAACAATGGTGCCTGCGCGCTCAAGCGTAATTATCCCAACCATCCGTGACTATGTGCAAGAGCCCCTGCGGTCCCGCTACTCATGCTGTCCCGTCCCTCACCCGCTTGCCCCGTCGACACGTGGGTGGTGTGTGTGAGGGATGCGCTTCAACCGCGGTGGCCGAATGCCCCTCGCCGCGGCCATACCATCTTAAGGCCGGTCGCAGCGCCGCGGTGCAAAGTAGCGTTGGGGGAGGCCGTCCAATTCCCTGATCGCCGGAAACCGTGAGAGTTAATCCCGATAAGGGTTTCTCGGATAAAAACCGGTCAATCAGGTGAGCTCCCCTTCCAGCTCTATGGGGGGGGGGGGGGGGGGGAATGCGTGCAGGTGTGTTCATGTGAGGTGAGGTGAGGGGAACGAGGGGTTGGCTCCGTTGCTTGGTGGTGGCGAGGTCGGGGATGGGGCGCCTGCCGAACGGCTTCGTGGCGGTGGCATCACATAGCCCCCCGAGGTGCCAGTCCCCGTCACGGGTTGACTGGAGCACCTTGCTTGGGCCGCGCCCACGAGGAAACGTTGCGGGGTTCGGGGGATCCGTCCGGACCTGGTGGCTGGTCTCGGGGCGGGTGGTTCCGTCCTCTGTGGCTCCTGCGGTCCTGCGGCGGCCTCCTCCACTCCAGCGGCTCTCCCCGTCCTCCGGCACCTGTGGGCTGGGGCACAAACTCAGCAGCGGAAGGGTTTAGGGACCGTCGTCCGCGCCGTCTCCTGACTGAATCGGGGCGTCTCGGGGGCCTGGCGGGGCCCATGTAGTGTGCGAGGCCCCCCAACACGAGGGGTGCGGGTACCCCGGGATTTCGGGGCCTTCGGGCGACGGGGTTCTCTCTCGCCGGGGCCGCTTTCCATGGTTTTAAGCGGCGGACGTTGACCACCGTCTCTCGACCCCTCTCCCCGCCATAGATTAGTACCGTCCAGGGGGAGATCTGCCGTACCACGGTCCAGGGTCCCCGCCAGTAGGTCGTCAGTTTCCCCACCTGCCCGGCCCCGACGCGAGGGGTGTGTAGCCACACCTTAGCGCCGGTCAGGAATAAGGGGGGTTCCATGCGGGGTCGGGCGCCCTGTTCCTGCCGCCGATGCGCGGCTTCCCCTTGCGGGTATGCTCGGCCTCGGGCTTCTCGCAGGGTCTCCATCAGGTGTTCCACGGGGCGGCTTCCCTCCTCCGGCTGGGGGGAAGGAACGCCGAATATCAGATCTGCGGGTAAACGAGACTCACGGCCGAACATCATTAAAAACGGGGTTTGTCCCGTCGACGTGTGTACGGTGGTGGCGTAGGCGAAAAGGGCGTAGGGGAGGTGTTCATCCCAATCCCGTTGATTTGCGGCCGCCATACGTTTGAGTTTCCCCGCTAAGGTCTGATTCATGCGCTCCACCATACCATTCGCCTGGGGGTGGTACGCTGTGGTTCGGTCCTTCTGGATTCCGAACTCTCGGCACAGTGCCTGGAACAACTCGGCCTCGAACTCGCTACCCTGGTCGGTGAGGACTCGTTCTGGCATCCCGTGCTTAAGTACGTAGTGTTCCACGAATGCCCGGGCCACCACCAAGGCCGTTTTATCAGGGATAGCCACTGCCACGGGGTAGCGGGTGAAATACTCTACTGCGACTAGGATATACCGGTTGCCTCGATGGGATCGCGGGAATGGCCCCTGTAGGTCGATCCCGACCAGCTGATTCGTGCGGCTGACGCGGAACGGCCTTAGGGGTACCTGGTATTGTGCCGGTTTCGGCCCGCACTGCTGACAGGCGCGGCAGCCCTGTACCCAGGCCGCCACGTCTTGTGCCAATTTGGGCCAGAGATACTGGCGACGCAGGGTCTCTCGAGTGCGTCGTTCCCCATCGTGGCCCCCGAGTGGGTGGTCATGCACCAGCCGTAGCAGCTGGGGTCGCACCTGGGCAGGAACACAGATGCACCCCGGCTGGCCGGCCTCGGTTAACTCCCGTACCACCCCGTTCTGCACACACAACCGGCCATACAGACCGCTCCAGGGTCCTTGTAGGGCGCTCTTTTCCTCCCGCAGTGCCGCCTCCACCGCCGCCAGATCGGGATCTCGCTGCTGGGTCTGTCTCAGCTGCTCGTCGTTCAGGCCCGGGAAGGCGCAGCTGACGTCCTCCCGGATCCGTCCGATTGGGGCGGGGTGATCCGCCGGGTCCCGAGCCGTGGGTCCCACGCTTGCCGGGCGGTCGACGGGATCCTCGGTGCCACCTGTGAGGGTCTCCGTGGCGCACACTGCACTCTCTCTCGCTGGGGGGGGGTCAGTGGCCGCGGCCTCTCGGGGGTCCGTTGCCTGCCGGCAGCGTCCCCCCGTGAAACACGGGCAGGCCTCCTCCGCCCTTGTCTCGGCGTACACCGTGTGCCGCCTCGACAAGGCGTCCGCGTTTGCATGCGTCCGGCCAGCCCGATACTCGATTTGCAGGTTGTACTCCTGCAACTGCGCCAACCACCGGGCCATCTGCCTCCGCGGCTCCTTGAATGTAAGAAGAAACTGCAGAGCATAATGGTCAGTGCGTACGCGACATTTCCTGCCGTACAAATACGGCCGGAACTGCTTACATGCGAAAATCACGGCGTACAACTCTTGGCAGGTCACGCAATAGTTCAGCTCGGCCACACTCAAGGTCCGGCTGGCATACGCGATGACTCGTTCTGTCCCATCCTGTACCTGTGACAACACCGCGCCCAGCCCGCTG